AACTGAAAATAAAATTTTAAATCAGCAATCGCATTCCTTTTATTTTCTTATATATTTATACTTCCATTATTCTCAATAATAATTTTCAAATATATGCGATGCTCCGAAACAAAATAAATATTGTAATCCATTTAACAAAATTATAAAACCAAAATATATATTTATTTTTTAAATAAATGTATTTAAAAAACATTTTTAGATGCATAAATATTTTATTTAACTTTTGGCTTGTTTTAAAAAATAAATTTAAATCATAGAAACTCTCTGTCAACTGATTAAAAATTAATTTGAATTTCAAATATAAATACCTTAAGTGGCCTCACCGCCTTCCCCGTCGACGGCCAAAAAAGAAACTGCTCTGTCTGTCTCTCTGTTGTCTCTCCTTTTCTCTCCCGTTCGTGCGAAAAGATGGAGGTGAAAAAAATTGTATGCGAGGGAATGGAGGAGGAGGAGGAGGTGACATGGGTGAAGCATTACTCTTCGTTGCACCAGATTTTACTCGTCGGCGAAGGAGACTTCTCCTTCTCTCTCTCCCTTGCCAAAGCTTTTGGCTCTGCTATCAACATCGTCGCCACTTCGCACGACACCTATGGTTTCTACTGTTTTTACCATCTCTTCTTACTAGAGCTAGATTGAACTATCGGGGTTCTGTTCATCTGTCTTCAATGAGCATTTCTTGTTTATCCGCTCCTTGTTTTGGTCGGTTTAGTGTTCTTGCCGGCTTTCCTGTTTCGTTACGCGTTTGTTGAAAGGGGTTTCACGATTGTTTTCCAGGTTTCCTTTTTTCTAAACTAAGTCACTGGTTGCGTAAAACTTGATGGATTTCGACTTTTTGTTGAAGAGCGTTTACGGGATGGTTCTTTCCTTTTGCTGTATTTATTTTCCATCTGATCATATGTGCTTTGAGCGTTTCGTAGTTTCAGACCTTCTGGATTCATTATTTCACATGCATTGACACCGATCATAAAATTTATGGTGTTTCTTCCGTGCAAAAATTGAAATTTAAACAGCCTATTACCGTGATTAATCATTTACCAGTCATTCATATTTATAAATTTTAAATGGTTTTTCTTTACCCTGCGATGCTTGCGACCCGTCGCGTGTCTCAATACTTTGTATTTCGTAGTTTCTCACTCCATGGATTTTGGTTATTTATTCTGGAAAATACTAATACAAACACAGTTTCCAAGTTCGTTTCCGTTGGTGTAGGCCTTTTTTTTGTTTATTGATGAAATCCCACTTTGCTCAGATAATCTGTTGAAAAAGTATGGTAAGGCTAAATCCAATGTGGAGGAACTTAAGAAGATGGGTGCAGCAATTATACATGAGGTTGATGCAACAAAAATGAAACTCCATGTTGGTTTAAGGACTAGGAAGTTTGATAGGATTGTCTTTAACTTTCCTCACGCTGGCTTCAAGGGTAAAGAAGATCATCCACAGCTCATCAAGTATGTAGTACTTCATTTCTGTCTTTATGGAAGCATAAGTTTATGAGCACAGCACGACAAAAATTTTAGTAAATTCAATCTTTTTTTAATTTTTATGTTTAACTTTGATGGAAGGCTGTTGATACTTGAATATTAATGCACCACATTTTTATACTTTACAGTTATTGTGTTTGTGCAGATGATCACAATTTGTTGTCTAGGGAGATAAAAATAATCTTTTTTTGCTATTTTTATACTATTTCATACATGTTTCTAGATGCCCCAAGCAGATTTTAGCCTTAATTATTTTACCATATATACTTTTTTTATGTGATCCTCTGTTGAGAGTTTAAGATGACCCATTTTCAATGATTAGTAACCTACGTCCGGCTGATATTTCCTTTGAGTGCTTTTGTTTTCATTTTGATGTTCAGAACAGTTTGGTTTGGACCAAAAAAATCGAGTGAGTCTATGATGCGTTAAGGTATAACGAATTGAAAGTTAAGGGAAAGGTATTAAACCTAAGCTAATACAAGTGTAAGTTGTTTAAAAGATTTGACGAAATTCAAGGGAACACTAATAATGTTCTAACTTGATTGGATTTATAAGTTGGATTAAGAAGTTGACCAATTTGCCAAGTAGTTGGACTGATAGTGAAGGTGTGGATGATAACGTGCAAGTGCATGTAGTTATAAATGTTTGAGCTTTGCGTTGGTTTACATTATGTGCTTCTATAGAAGTACTTGCTCAAAATTTTCTTCTCTAATGCAAAATCTCTGTTCCTGATTGCATAACGATGGGCACCAGTTCGATTAGGACATTTTGAACTACCAAAATCCTAGGTGAAAAGAAAGAAAAAAGGAAGGCGAACAGAAAGTTTTAGAGTTGCCCGACCAACTCTAATCTTTTTT